AGATCCTCTCCCTGTCTGGAAGGCACTGGGAGAGGATCACTTTCTAATGAATGAGTTTTGAAGGTACTAAGAGATTATAATTCCATACCCACAGTCAGAAATATGTGTAGCGCAGTAATGGAAACCTACATTCTAGTTCAACTACATGATTGTGGACAAGTCATCCACCGGGCTATGCTAAAGAACACTCTATCTGTCAAGACAGATCATCAGACATCTGTGTAACTATTGTAACTTGGTCTGTAAATCAGATGTCATCATAGCTACTGCAAATTCATATCAGAGCTCCAAACAGAAACAAACCAACCTCAAGTCCTTATGACAGCCATTCTGAGTTGACCTAAAGGGCTTCTCTTATTAATCTCAAAAGGGAGTTAATACCATTTCCTTTCATTTACAGCTTGCAAAACAAAAACTTAGGGATGCAAACAGGATGGTCTAGATTACATACTGAAACTGTGGAAAAGCATATGACTGAACCCACATTCCAGGATCCCCTTCTAATTCTTTAGGCATTACATTGCACTTCTTTGCAGGAAGACGGCATTCACAAAAAGAAGAGATAAATTAGATCCTACAGTGTTTACTGTACAACCAAGAACTAATGACAGGCAGAGAAGAAAGAACATCAAGTTCTCCTCTAGCATTCTTGGCTTTTTTATTATTGTCATTTGCGGTTAAATTTAATATTCCTAAAAATGAAGGCCTTGAAGGCACCAGCCAGCTGGATCCAAGCATTTCGCAAGAAGAATTAAGCAAGTTTCTTAGCATAGCCCTGCAACAGCCTTTCTTACAGTATGCCTGGCTGAAGCCTGCCATTGTGAACACAGCAATGCTAAACTGGAATTAGGCAGAGTGTTCAAAGACGACTAAAACCACCATCAAGAGGGACATGAAACGAAGATGCAAATGCAGAGGAGTCCTCAAAGCATGAGCAGAATTCACCACCATCCTCTGCACAGAAGACACTGATATAAGACAAAGCTCTGTATTCATAGGGTGCTTTTCACCCAATTTATTTCCTTCTTATACAGTTCGTACTGTTAGTTGAGCAAGTTCAACTATATTTACCGATCAAGTCAGGAGACAGGGAGCTATTTCTTCTCCATCTGACTTGCTCAGAAACTTATCCTCACTTCCATATGTCTCTACTACTTGAGCTCTAGAAAAATACAGAGAGAGCACGCATTACTATAGAGAGACGTTTTCTAATGATACACTTGCTTACTGATTAACAGACCTACTGATAATTAAAGGGTGCTGACTTACATGCAGCATATGCCACGGGTGTGTGAACAATACCTTTGCTTTCTACCACACTTGACACACAAACCAAATTTCCAGTATTATCAAAATAAAAATGTTTCAACTTCTCATCAGCCTACTGCAAATTAGCTTCACAAGAACCACAGTATTATTTTTGCTTGAATACTGATATTTACAGGAAAATTATGAAGTCCATTATTACGAAATAGAGACCAATTTATGAAAGGGTGGTGTTAAGCTGAGGGACAGAAAGACGTAAGCGTTCTACAGCAACAAAATAGCAGCAATGGTAACAGACAGAAGATTGAATTTCAACCCTATTATCTAGTCTCTGGATTACAGTTATTTCTGTTTCACTCTACTGTAACCCAAACCTGCTCCAGCCCAACTTGTTTTCCCCTTTGTGTTCTGTTATTCTTAGAAGGCAGCAGACAGGTCTGCAAAAATATCTAACGTAACTGAATGCTCTTGTGCTGAGCAGGTATTTAAATCAATTTGTCACTATGCAAATCCTACAGGAAGAATTTGACATGCTTTGTCAAATACCTCTGTCGGTATTCTCCATGACTCCCTGGGATCAATGACTGTTCTCACCTCTCCACACTAGTTAGTGTGTCACAAGCAGCATACCTCCAGTCCAAATCAATGACCCAAGGGGTCACCCATTACTGTACATGCTGTACGAGATTAAGGCCATGCTGCCAACAAAACAGTCAGGCACAGGAGACAGGGGAGGTGACATTAACACAGATGAACTTGGCAGTATGGGAGAGAAGAGCTGGGTCAGGAAGAGAAAGCAGTAAGATTTGTTTGCTGGTTTCCTTCAGATGCCACTAAAAAGAAAGCTCTGTGATTTCCAAGATAAACAAAGATAGCAAGAGCTGCAGCACAGTCTTAAGAAACAACACAGCACAGGGATGTTATTATGCAGCTTTCTGTAACAGGGGATCACCTTGAATACGGTGACACTCTTGATTTATTATTTCTAATAGGATGGAGAGGAAAGGCAAGGCTGAACTGTTGAACTTGCACACAAGCCTATACTCAAATAAAGTAAGATTTTAGGGCAATATTAGTTTGGTTGTTTAGCTTTTATTAAGGCTGCGGTTTAAAACTGTGTGCAACAAGTTGCTCCACAGTTTTAACACAGGAGGAGTCTCACCAGCCTGTGAGACATGGGAACGTTTCAGTAAATTCACTGTAGGACACGGACAATCACATCTCGGAAAACAGCAAGTGCGGTGAAACAGAAGCACAATGCACTGCCTCCAAACTCTGGTCAAGGACACAGCCTGACAGGGGAGCCATACAGTAACGACAAGGAGGCACGTACATGAATAGGTGGCAGCTGCTGACGGGCATATAACCAGAGGGGTACCAGTGCCACATACCACGGTAGGTGGGATGTGAATACAACTATTTCTCAGCTGCTCTGAAATGAGATTTGCCAGCACTAGTGAAGGTTATAATATTGTCCCAATAAGAATATCCCTATAAATCAGGGGTCTGCAGCCTTTTCTGATGTGTGTATCTCTAGAAAGTTCTACCAGGAGCATGGACTGCCACACAGAGGACATAAGCCTCCTGGGAATATACCTGTTTTTTTCATTAGTTTGGCTGATGCCTTCACAATAGTCAACAGACTCCTTCCCACCTGCCCAGCTCCCCCCATATCCCAGTCTCCTCACGGCTGAGAGATCAAGAAGTCTGAGAGCAAACAGCCATTGAAATTTACACTTAAACCAAAGAGCCCTTCAGCTTCCACCCCGAATTCAGGCTTACAGCCTAACATACTGCAGGAGAGCGCTCCTCTAACGCGGTCAGCTCTTGAGGACCGTGAAGACAGCCCTAAGCATGCAGCCTGGACTTAGCCTGCAGGGTGAAGAAACAGCACCAGGTGTGGAACTGGTAGAACTGAAGTACTAGAGGAAGAACAAATAGCATGATCAAAAGCTCCAGGTCGTAGCATTCCAGGAACTGGGAAGACTAGACAGAACTGGGCCAAATTAATTTAGTGGCTTCTGTCGCGGAGAGATGCCTGTAAAGGACTCTGCAAACACCTGTTCATCTTTGTGAAAGGCGCTCATGCTCTTGGAATGACATCAGGACACCATTTGGTGGGAAACCAGTTCTTACTAACCTTAGCAATACAACATAAAATCTATCCAAAGGTGCAAGTCCATTTTAGACTGGCAAAACTATTTTTGCTGGGCTATCAGCAGCAGGGCAGCAGTGTGCCAGGGAGCTCTTTTCATCAAACGCTACCAACTGCACAGGAAACAGATGGAATTTGCTGCACCAAGATCATCCTCCTGCTTGAAATGCAGAAGGACTATGAAAGAACCACTTACCTGGAACCTGTGAACCAACTCCAGTGACTGGCTGTCATTCTGGTCTGCTTCAAGGATGACATCTGTCAGTTTATGTATGATCACATCCAAAGGGCCCTGATCTTCAATGGGTTTGGTGAGGTCAAGCTGAAAAAACCAGAGAGAAACCTTTTATTAATATATGATCTGAGATTCTTGTCCCTGCCACCGTCCAAGGTGTTGCTGCCACACAGAAGGCATGTACTTTACATGCTGCCTTTATTTTGGTATGTTACTCAAATCCCTGAGAATTTATATGTCACTGAATGTCAGAAAACTTTACTCAGCCATTTATTCTCAGCAGCGTAGATCTAATTCCATGAAAAAGCAGTGACGTAATTGGCAAGCACCCTTCATCCAAACACCTTCCTGTGCTTCTCCACCCTGAGCCAACATTTCCCTCTTCAGCTTTCCTTCCTGGTACTTACACATACATGCAAAAGGAATGAGCCAACAAAGATTATCACCACTAATAAAAGGAACGCCTGTTGTGCCCTTTGCCCTTTGGGATTGCACAAAACAGCACCCAGGACAGTAATACAAAAGCAAGTGCCTCAGGGTCTTTGCAAATTCATCTGCTTCCGGGGCAGCTATTTAGCTGGTAAAAAGGAATGCAGCTCCCAGAACATTCCCACTAGCAGACTTCGGCAGTTAGCTGGATAGGGGACAAAGATTTGGGTGGGGTGTGCAAAAACTCTGCTCCAGACAGCACGGGAAGGCATGGAAGTGGTGGTGATGTGTCACAGGGTTTGGTCACCAGTATCAAGACAGGGTTCAAGGAGCAGAGGAACCACCTGTACTGGAAAAGGATTGAGTTAGGAATCTCTTGAGGAAATCTTAATGCAAAGATGACTACTGGACCTGATGGGATGCATGCAAGGGTACTAAGAGAACTGGCCAATGTCATTGTGAGGGCTTCTCTGGACATAAATCAAAACTGTGGAGATTCCAACAAAATCAAGAAAAAAATTCTACCACGAGGACATTCTGGTTGCAGCACAGAGCCCCACAGAGGCTGCAGGATCTGCATCCTTCAAGGTATTCAAGACCCGACTGGCCAAAGCCCTAAGCAACTTGGTCTGAATTTAATGCTGAATCTGCTTTGATCAAGATGATGTACTATGGACCCCTAAGGTCCCTACCAAACTTAATGATCCCATGAAGCTGTTTACCAGATTTGAACATTTGTACAGTGTAAGTACCAGAACTGGCTCATGTTCTAGCCAACACACTGGGCTGCCCACAGTCTTCAACCAGTTGGGCGATCTGCTGCATCAGTGGCAACTTAACCTTGTAAACTTCAAACCGGGAACATCTTTGAAATGACAGACAGATGTGCGCTCGCTAAACTAAAGTTAGCATCTGATTTTACAGTTACATGCATGCTCCTTTCCATTGCTGCTATCCCCTTTATTCAACTCTGGCAGAGAAGGAGGTGGGGGGTACAGGAGGGAGAGGAGGGCTGGGCAGAAGAGGCTGCTGATGCTCTTTTTTGACAGAAGCCTGCTCTTCACTGTCTCATTAGCTTGAGTTTTGGCCTAATAAAATTTCCCACGCTACAGAAATGGCCCTGCTTTGAATTAAGGAGTGCCTGAAGGAAAGAAACGATAAGACAGGACGTCTGGAGTTCAAGCACCAATAAAACTAAAACAACAGAGGCCTAGCGGCCTTATAATAATTTGCTAGTTGCTAATCTAACTGATCCATGTAACGAAATTCCTTTTCTTGTGTAGGCACTCTTATCTGGGCTAGGCTTACCTGAGCAGAATAACTGAAGTTACCTATGGCACAAAGGCAAACCAAAAGACTGCCAATTCTTCCCAACAGAGACCACGTCTTCTTGCCTGTTACTATGTGCTCCTACTAACAGTTACAGGTTGAGGCTCTAGTACTATCTTTGAAGTACTCAGGTAGATTCTAATACAACTGGAAAACATATTGTGCACCTATCTTCTGAGGAGACTAACAGAGGCACTGTTCACAGGTGGGCAGCAGACTCTCTACATGCAAAGATTACGCAACGGTAAAGACAAACAAGACAGACTTGATGTGGATGCTCAGCGATCAGTAAGCTGTGGCTGGGTGAGGCAGTCCACAGAAGGTCTGGCTGTCCTGGCACTTACATTTTTACTCCCACAAGTAGTGCAGCATGAAGGCTAAGGGCAAGCATAAATGTCTGCAAAATTCAAGCAAAATGAAGTGAACTGCAGCTTAGCTAAGGACATGGAAGGAGATGATCTACTTCTGCAACCAAGTTCCAGAAAAATCAGTTAATATCCTTAAAAGAAATCTCAGATGACCACACTGCTTTTCCTGAGGTTTTTTCATCAGCCTATCACATCTGGAAGGAAACAGCAAAACAAAGGGTCCATTTAACTAGGTCGGAAAGTTCCCAGTTGCCAAGGTACAAAAATGTGAATTAATCCATTTTCAGGACTTCCAGTCTGAAAAACAGTGAGAAGCAAATAAGTATTTGAGATTGGTTACCCCTCTACATTCTTCCTGCACTTGCAGCTCAATCTGCACAGAAACATTCAGAAAACAAGAAAACAGTCCTTCCTTTCAGCCTTGACCCAAGAATAGAAATAAGCCTTCAAGGCACATCCAGGCATTTTCAGCACAGTGTTTTCCAGAAGCATAAGACATCTGGGCAAGATAACTTCTTCACAACAGCTGTGCCAGCTAAAAGCAACTGGCATATTTTGAGAATGAAACCCAATGCACCTTCTTTGCACATCAGAAAGTGTTAAAAAGAGTCCTCTGTAACAGTGCCCTGCTTCCCCTTCACCAGGAAAGCAATGCTAGAAATGATGGCACGCCAGGGCAGCTCCTCTGATAGGAAGTTCAATGGCTTCAACAAGGACAGCAGGTACATTTCAACCAAACAAACCTTCAAAATTTGATCGAGTATTTTGTGGATTGGAGGATCAAACTGTTTGCAAGAATAAGTTCTCTGTTTGCAAGAATAAGTTCTGGGCCGCACTGCAGAAAGCAAATATTCCTGGGCTGTGAGGAATTTGGAAGAGATCCACCTTCCTTTTACATATCAAGAAGAAGAAGAAGAAAAAAAAAAAAAAAAAAAGGAAAAATAAAAAAAAAAAGAAAAAAAAAAAGTTTTGGAGAGAGAACCACCTTCCTTTTACATACCAAGAAAAAGAAAAAAAAAAAAAAAAAAAAAAAAAGGTAAAATTAAAAGAAAAGGAAAAAAAAAAAGGTTTGAGGGGAAAAAAAGAAGCCTTTTCAAGTGGAGTATCAGACCCAAGCAGAAGTCAGGGAAAGTAGAGTGCAAAATTTCTGATGGCCCTCTGCTGAGACAAACACTGATTCATTGTTTGTCATCAGCTGGAATTTGAGCCCTCCTACTTCCCTTCTCTTTCAGCATCTCTCTCTCCAAACGATCTTTGCATTTGACATGATCACCCAAAGGTTTGTTTTTGCACAGAACTAACACCATAGCAACAGAAGTGAGAGAAAAGATTTATCAGCACCAGCTTGAAAAACCAGAGCGATATGACTATGGTGCCTTTAAGTAGGCTATAGCCTACTCTGCTCACCCTTTTCTATGTTAAAAAAAAAAAAAAAAAAAAAAACCAGGTATTGGTTTCTTGGCTTTTTCCTTTTTCTTCAAACCCCGGCG